CTCCCTCTTTTCCAGTCTCTCTGAAAATCAATGGAAAAAATATCCTCAGACAGGGATTAACAAACAAACAAAAATATATGAAATAAAAAATCCCAGAAAGTCCCAAAACACTAAACTTGAATTTGCCCCTTGCCGAGCCCCATGCTGAATCCACATGTATGACATGGTGTGTAGTGTGCCCTGCCGTGACCTGTGTGCAAACCCTACACGTTTTACATGAGGGAGAGCGGGGGTGGGGAACGTCTGGCCTCCGGGGAACATATGGCCCGAGAGATTGTTGGGTCTGGCCCTGCCAAGGCGACCGCAGGTGGGACTCGAAATTCAACGTAGACCTAGGAGCTTTTTTCATAGCTAGTTTCTAAGTTGATAATTTTGTATGGCATGCTAATGATGTTTTAAGTATCTAAATGGCCCTTGGCAGGAAAAAGGTTCCCCACCCCTGGACTAGCGCCTCCATGAATGTCAGCATCCTAGAGGGGTCCTGGAACCAGTCCCCCGCAGGTACTGGGGCACAACTGCTGTCTGGGTGCGGCCTGGACAGCAGGATGTGTTTGATTTGCCCAGATGATCTTTTTTATTTTTAAAATATTTTCTTGATTTCAGACGGACAGGAAGGGAGCGGGATAGAGAGAAACATCGATTAGAGACATTGATCGGCTGCCTTGTGCACGCCCCCTCCTGGGGATCGAGCCCACAACCTGGGCATGTGCCTGATTGGGAATTGAACTGGGGCCCTCCTGGTTGATGGGTTTGACGCTCAGCCGCTGAGCCACAGCGGCCGGGCCGCCCAGATGATCTTACTTGTGGCCATGGTCATGACCCACACCGCACCGTGGTGGCTGTAGTGTGCCTTACACCCCAACAGTAAGGAGAAGGTGGACTGTGGCCACTTAGCAGGGCTCAGGGACCAAGGAGGCTGCAGGGCAGTGAGCAGCCACGTGCGCCACCCTTGGAGGCAAGGCTGTGCAACAGCGGGTTGGCCTGTGTGTGTGCTCGGGCCAGCAGAGGTGGCAGCTGTTTCTGCCCCAGTGACCACTAGGCCAGGCCCCTGTCATGCTGGGTGCCAGCAAAGGCTCCATGGAGGGGTGCCACTCATGCTGAGTCCTGCAGGAAGGGCCTGCTGTCTCCTGGGTACAGTGTCTTGTCCAGCCAGGCCTGGCACAGGGAAAGGGCTCAGTGTTTGCAGGAGTCTTCAGTTTAAATGAATGGCTCTCAGTGACACCACCTGGAGTTCACTTACTTGCTTTGCTTACAGGTGGCTGGAGAGATATGCCTTCGTGGGTATTTAGACGCCGTCAGGTTCTTGGAAGAAAAGGGTAGGTATGGGCTGGGGGCAGATGCATCCTCCCATCATCTGGTGGTCAGCAGCCTTGGGCAGCCCCAGGCTCTGTGAGTGACGTCACTCTATGCTCCCCACCTTCACCGCCCGCTCTGCTCAGCCCTCTCATTAGCCTGCTAGAGGAAACCTCCCATTTTAGAGGTGGGGAAATGGAAGCTGGGAGAGGTGAGCCAGGGCCCGCACTGCAGTCCCTGGACCTGGGAGGTCCCTGCTCCAGGGCTCTCTCCTTGCACAGTGCCACTCACAGCTCTGTGGCTTCAGAGCCGCAGAGGCTTCCCTCTCCGTTACGACCACCTGCCTCGTCCATCCCCACCTGCTCCTGAGCTGGTGCCGGGCCTGCAGTGTCTGGGGGCTGCTGGCCTCCCCTGTCATTGCCTGGGTGGGTGAGTACTGACCCTGCAGCCCACATTCACCTCGTGGTTTGTCTTCCATGCCCTCTGTAGGCATCTGTGACAGGCCCCATCCCGGCCTCAGTCTGTCCTCAGGGGAGCCGGAGTTCTTTGCGTTCTCCTGGGAAAACAAGAGCCCAGAGGCTTCCCCAGGGGTGGCTGCCTGGCAGAGGAGGCCTGAGGAAAACGAGCTGCTGGACCACCTGCGCCTCAACTTCCTGCCCTGGGATGAGAGCATCCTGGAGGCCCTGTCACCCACGTTCCTTGCAGGTGACGACTCCTGGGGCAGGAGGGCAGAGGTGTTGTTTTCTGTCACTGATAGACTCAAAGGTCTTCTTTCCTGTGTTAGGGACAAAGGTGATGCTGCCATGGGGGAGGAGGCGAGGTCCCCACCTCCTGGCACAGCCTCCTCCATCTGGTGCCTGGCTCAGTCTCCCTTCCCATGTGGACATGGCCAGAAAAAAACAAACTCCAACTGAGCCCATTTTGAGCCAACAGGGCATGCTCTCAGCTCCTGGAGTCCAGGCACACTGGACTTTGGGGCCCCGAGGGCAGGCCCCTTCTTTCAGAGCACCGCTCTCTGCCTGTGCACCCGCCGCAAAGCCCTCTTTCTCAGGGAGCCCCTCCTGACCCCCTCCCCGCCCCCGGTTTTGAACCTCTCACTGACCCGCGGTAGTGAATTTCATCATGTCGTCGGACACCAGGCGGACACAGTGCACGGGCCAGCTTCCAGCTGGGCACCTGCATACGTTCAGAGATGAACTAGAGGCTGTTGCCCAGGTCACTGTGATTGGTGGCGTCCTGAGGTCATCACGAAGGGGAGACTGAGGCCAGGGGGTTCCAGGCAGGAGGAGATGGAATCCAGCGGAAGGCGTAGGGCAAGCCCATAAGGAGGGCGGGGTGTTGGAGCGCTCAGTGTGCTCCCCCAGAAAGCGCTGCCAGCTAGAGTTGTCCCTGGGGTGCCTGCAGCCTGCCCGGGGCCGTTCCGGCCGCATCCCCGCCTGACTGCATGTGCGACGGCTTCCGATTCTTCGGCTGCCAGGACTTGTGTATCTTATCAAAATCCCAGGCAGTACCTAGGAGAGGAGGTTTGGTTTCTGCACTGGAGGGAAACACGCCCCCCGACGGTCTCTTTCAGTCCTGAACGAGGTGGTCAAAAGCCGAGGGGGCTGCATGAGCAGGATCCGCACGTCCCTCCCGGTCAGTGCCATGTCCTACGTGTTGCTCCCCTGCACGCTGCCCGCGGAGTCCGCGCTCGCCATGGCCCGGAGGTGAGCCTTTGGTGGCTTTGTCTCCACCGGAACCCTGGGCATCTGTCTCGGCTTTCTTCACATTGACTGGGGTGTTTGCTTTTCAGTGAGTTAACCTAGTGCGTTCTTCAGTCCATCTTTTAGAGTCCAACCCAACTGTCCGAAACCCAGCTCCGCTTTCCCACCCGTGGTGACCTTCCAGGTCCCTCCCACCCTCCGGAACCCCCTCCTGCACCCACGCCGCCTCGCTGGGCAGAGGGGCAGGCGTTTGCCACAGCCAGGCGCGGGGCTGGGAGCCTGCGGAGGGCAGTGGCCAGGCCCCTTCGGCAGCTTCCTCTGCTGGGCCCCCCCGTGGCCAAGCACTGGGGGCCGGGGCAGGGGGTGGTGTCTCGGCGCCAAGCTGCAGGCATCTTGCTGGGGACAAGTGGGATCCTGGAAAACCAGCCGTTTCCTTTGATTCCCATGGAAATCCCTTGAGCTTCCCTGACTCAAAAGTGGCCTAACTTTGGGGCTTTTAGGTCAGCTTGTCCTGAATCCACCTCCTGGGAATTTACCAGATCGGGATGAGAAGTGAGCCGGGCAGTTTAGCGGGACGAGGGGTGGTAGTGTGAGCCGGCCGCCTGTGTCCTGCTTTTGTTCAGTTCCTTTCGTTTCGGCTCATCTTCCTGCTGATGTGGGGTGTGTGTGTGTGTCCCCTCTTATTACTGCAGGCTGGTGCTGTGGCTCCCAGACATTCCTGATGACATCCAGTGGCTGTACTCGATAACCTCCCAGGCTTGCTCTCGAGTGATGACGCGTCTGTTCTCCACATTCAGGTAAATGACTTGTGTGGGTCAGACAGGCGTAGCTTTCATCTGATCAGGGCTTGTGTGGCATTCTAGAACTGTTGGCAAGCACCCGATGGGTGACAAGGAGCTTGTCCTTTAGTGCAGGGGCCCTATCTTGTGTGAGGCCCGGGTGCGTCTGCTGAAAGCCAATGGGACCTACCTGTGCAGGGGGCTGCAGAGCCCAGGGAGGCGGCGGGAAAGCCTCCAATTGATCCCAGTTATAATGGCGCTGAGGGCAGCAGAGGGGATGCGTCCAGGACAGGAGTGTCAGAGAGAATTGCTTCTCCTCTAGGAAGTAGCTCTGGGTGCCTGCAGCATGGGGAGAGGGTAGGGCATGGATTGGGGTGCCAGGCAGGGCTTCTGGGGGTTTGGCTGGGCATCATGTTAACGCAGATTCTTTTATGACCTCAGACTTGCCAAATCCTAGACTTGTGGTGGGCCCCCGAAGTCTGCATCGTAACAGGGCCTGGTGATGCGGCTGCTTTCCGAATTCTGCACGCTGATTTGTAGCAAGAACGGCCTTGTTCTGGTTATGAGAGTTGGATCTTATCCTGAGAATCATGGGCCTTGGGTCTCTCACCTGCTCAACTGGGGTGACCTTCACCTCCTCTTCAGGTTTCTGTGAGGCTTTGGGGACTCCCTGGCACAGCACTGGACACATGGCGGGCATTCATGAGGCGGGGCCTCCGCTGTTACTGCTATTGGCAGACAAGAAGGATTTAAAGTGGGGGTGGCAGGATCCAGTTTGCCTTGGGAAGGACCCCAGTGGCCTTGTGGAGGAGACTGGATCTTGGGCCTGAGTGGCAGCAGTGTCACCAGCATCAGGGCAGCCGCACTGGCCCAGGCAGGGACCAGGGGGCCTGGTCTCAACAGAACCTGTGGGACTGAGAGGTGTCCATAGGCTCCAGGGCCCACAGGAGGTGCCAGTTGCAAGCCCTGGGGCCTGCCTGCATTCTGAGGGAGTAGGGCAGCCAGTCAGGAGGAGGTGGGAGAGGGGGCTGTGGGAGGCACCCTGGTCTGTGTAGTCCCGTGGGAGGTGTCCAGGTGGCAGGGAGGGCCACAGGCTTGCAGGCTCGGTTGGTGACATCAGCCCAGCAGTGAGGGGCCCAGAGTGTGGGTGGCACAGCACTCAGCGTTGGCAGACAGTGTCTGTCCCTGTTCGCTGAGACTGAAGGTGAAGGCCGAGTTAGCATTATTTATGGTTCAGATCCCAAATGCTGGCAAGCAGCCTGCAGACATCCCTACACTAACCAGAGCATGATGCGCCCTGCGGGCCTCCCTGCTCCCCGTGGTCCCAGGCGCCTCCCCTGGGGACTGTCCAGTTGGGCCCAAGAACTGACAATAAATGTGTATCTGAATGCTTTCCCTTGACTCTGAGTTCTCTACCACGAGCGGCGGCATTGCTCCTTTAACACCACTTCTCTTCCCGATGGCCCTGCCAGGCCAGGTGGCCTCCACGGGCTCCTTCCTGGACCCTGTGGACCAGACCCTCCTAGGATCCCCCTCCTTCCTCTGGGACCCCGGACTCTGAGGGGCTCTTTCTCCATCTTGGGTGCTCTTCCCCAAAGCTTGGACATGCCTGCTCTGTGGAGTGCAGAGCTGTTCCTAGGAGGGTATGTTCTTGGAGTGAGTGAGGCCCCCGAAGTCCTTAGTGCAGGTGTGGATCAGGCCCACATGCCCACCTACCCCCGGGCAGCTCCACCTGGCCATCTCTTGGCTGCAGAACATACCCCCACCAGGGCAGAGCTCAGCTCCCTGCTCAGCCGCCCTAACAACTGCCAAGTCACCTGAGCCAGGAACTCCGCCTCCCTCCTGGCCTCTGAGATTGGGCATTGATTTTCTTATGGGAACCAGTGTAGTCATTTCTGCTACTGATGGGCCCAGATCAGCACTTCATAAAGAAAGTTTTCTGAAATGCTGGCTGATGTCACTGGTGATCTGATCAGTTAGGACAGGCTGGGCTATGCTGCATTTAACAAAAGCCCCCAAAGGGGTCATTTCTCACACTTCATGCCTGTCAGTCTTAATGAGCCAGCCTGAAGCTGCCCCACCATCTGGGGGTCACTTATCGCTGTGGTGGTGGTGGGGAGAGATTTGGTGCTTAAAGGTTTCATCCAGAAGTGACCTCTGTCCCTTCAGCTCATAACTGGTTGACCAAAGCAAGTCAATATGGACAGGGGCGGAGAAATGCAATTCTGCCCTCTGCCCCAAAGAGGAGCACTGGAAATGCTGCTGAACATGCCACAGAAAGCCTTAAAAACCAAAACAAAAAGGTCTCTGTGGCCCAATATATTCAGGAAATACTAGGTTAAAGAAAGTGAGACAGGTGTGTGTACTGCAGGACTTCTCAGAGCCTTTAAAATATGAATGATTGCTGTGACTGTCAGAGACAGTGTTTGAGGATAAAGCTGTGACTTTGTGTTCCTGACGTGCCCTGTCACTTTGGCCCAGTGCCTTGTTTATAATAGGCTTTTAGACATTTGGCTCATGACTTGCAGTCTGCAGATCAACATGATTCATGCTTATGTTAGAGAAGAGGCCTACTCGAGAATAACGAGGGAGGAAATGCAGGAGGAAAGTCTGCATTCTTTCAGTGTTTACGGCGTGCAGGCCCCTCACTATCTCACGAAACCCTCCTACACCTGTACTCCCTAGGAACTGCTGCCATCCTCACTTTACAGACGGGGAAACGGGGAGGGCCCAGCAGAATCAATTTCAAGCTAGTGCCCAGTTTGTGCGGCTTGTGCTTACAATTTGCTCGGGCTCCTGGATTATTTACCTTTGGTCATCTCTGTCAAAGTTTTCCCACCTAAAATTGCCTTTTCAGTCTGAGCTGGGGGTCAGCAAGACCTCCACAGCTTCCCTTTGGTGGCCAGGGGCAGGTTTCCTGGGTCCCAGAAGCTAAGCCTGTGGGCCCTGAGCCCAGGGCATTCAAAGCCCTGCCAGGTAACCTCTGGGCCACATTCTGAACTGAACTTCACAGGCTGTAGCCTGTTCTGTATGCTCCACCCCCTCCTTTTAAAATGGCCAGAAGAGGGGAACTAGGGGCTGGGGAGCTTCTGAGCCATCCTCTCCGTGAGCCCAGTACCCTCCCCAGGCCCTGGCTTGGGTGGGCATTGCTCAGAGGTGGCTAAGAAGGTGAGAATGCGTCAGAGTCTCCTGTGCTTGGGTCTCCCCTGGATTTGGGGTGTCCGTCTCTCTGAGCCTCAGTTTCATCTCCTGTCCAAGCCCACCTTACTGGGCTGGTTCAAGAAGGCCATTTATGAAAAGCACTTAGCACCAGGCCTGGGACGCAGGTAGCGCAGGGACAGCCCGTCCTCGGTGGGGGCACTCCCTGGGCTGGGCACAGCTATTAACTCGTTGGGCCCTCAAAGCAACCCGATGAGGTGCCCACTGTTAGGACCCGCAAGGCTCTCCCGTTCTTCAAGGTGAATGGCCGCCTGGATGATCCTCTGACATCTACGGGTTGCAGCCGAATGAACGGCGGTCGCTTGTCCGCCGCTGGCGGAGCGCCCGGCACAGGGCCCGGCGCGGTTACGCTCCATCTCTCACGCATCGGCCCTGCAACCCACCCCGTGAAGTGGATACGACCATCACCTTCATTTTGCCAGTGAGAAGACCGAGCCCTGGGGGGGTTCAGCGACTTGAAACGGCCAGTGCGGCCAGCAGGAGGGGCTCAGGGCGACAATCCCGCCACCGCTGCGGCCGGGGGCGGGGCCTGGGCACTTCGCCTGAGCGTGGGGACGACACATCTCCCACTGGGCCGGGGGCGGAGGGTGGAGGACGAGACGTGGGTGCAGTCCTAGCGCGCCCTGCAAAGGGCGCGGTCCCTCGGAGAGGAGACACCAGACACCTGCTGTCTGTAGGGCCGCCGCAGAACTGAGCTCAGGGCACCAGCGGCTTCGCTGGCGTCAATGGACGCTTTGCGCTTGCGCCTTCGCAGGGGCTTCCGGGCGCGCACGTGAACATCCGGGTTACGGGCTCTGAAAGGACCAATGAGCGAAAGCACCGCGAGCCAGGGGGCGGGCCCAAGGCGGGGCATCATGGCCGCCCCCAGCGCGCCGTCAGCAAGGGCTCGTGGGTGGTGCGCGGCCTCGTAGCTCGGGCTCCGGCGGGCCCGCCCTCTGCCCTCACCCGCC